GAGAGAGGGGCCCCCAGGGCACCGTCCTGCTCCGCCGGAGGCACTGAGATCTGAGAGGGAAGCCCGAGACACCCTCCCAGAACTCCAGCCCAGCGTACTGGGCGTAGGGGCCTCTGAGGCTCAGAGCAGGCCTGGCGCTTCCGGGGATGCTGGGGAGAGGCCACCCGCTGGCTCCCGACTCCTGCTCGCTTGCGGCCCTCCTTGGGTCGGGCCCAGGAGCCCTGCGCGCGCATGTAGGCACATGTGGGCCGCCGCGGGCCAGGCGTGCCCCAATCAGCCCACTCTCTTGGGAGTTCTTATTGAAAGCCAAACAAACCAAAAACGCCCTGGTCTTGCCTGAGTTCCTCCCTGTTGCCAAGTGGGTCTCATCTCAGCTTCCGGGGGCCTCTGGTTCTGGAGAACCCCTACCCCTGCCGGCTTGGGTGCAGCCGTCTTGGGCACGACACTGGCCTCCATGCTGGCCTCCCCTGGGGTCCAGACTCCCCTGTTTAGCAGCTGGGTCTGGGTGGGGGTGGCCCCAGCAAAGCTCCCTGCCTGGCTGGGGAGGAAACGCAAAGTTCCCTGTGGGTAGGGAAGGAAGGGCCTTTCAAGGTGAGGATGCAACACTTCCTAACCTGCGCTCAAAGCCTCAGGGAAACCAGGGGGACAGACGTCTCTGCTGTCTCGCTGTCTCTCCGTCTCTCCGGGTGTGGGCAGGGGTGTCCATGGGGAAGCAGGACGGAGGGAAGGAGCGGCACTGGCGGTCTGCCCCGACAGCATCCGCCCAGCACAAGGCTAGTGTCGTCAGGCTCCCGGAGAGAAGGGGGGCTTCCCAGGCCCCCAGACCACAGGAGGCCCCTGAGCCTGACACCTTGGAGAGCTGGAGCGAGAGGAGAGGAGATGAGACCCTCGCTGGATGAGGGATGCAGTGGTCCCACATCCCATTAGGACTCCTTGTGGCGGGCCGGCGGCCCACTGGAAGCCTCCAGGCTCCCTCTTGCTTTGTGGCTGCTGGGCGTGGAGATCCTATCAGCCCTGCTCCTTTTGGTTCAATGACTAATTCCCTGGCACTCGCCTCAGATCTGTAAAGAATGTGGACAAGTTAAAATCTGAACATTGTTGTCGTCGTGGGGCTGCCTCCGCCTTCCCCTGAACACGGTTGTCGTCGTGGGGCTGCCTCCCCCTTCCCCTGAACACGGTTGTTGTCGTGGGGCTGCCTCCTCCTTCCCCTGAACTGGGAGGCAGGGGCAGTTTGCTCTGCTGGCCTGGGCCATCCTCCTGTTGGGGATGGAGCCTGGGGGACAGACATGAAACCCCAGGCTGGGCTGTCCTTGCTAGGGATGTGGAAGGCTCCCTGCAGCCCTTGGTGGAGCGAAAGGGAAGACCCTCCAGAGGGGTCATGCTCATCACCTAGAAGAGAAAGGAGATCTCTGGGGGTTGGGTTGGCAGGCTGGGACCCCTCCCCCCAGGACCCACCAGGTTCTCAGCCTCCTGCAAGTGGGAGAAGCAGGCTCACATCCCGTCCTCATTCCTGGGCATTTGTATGGTGGGGTGGGGGGCATCCTGCTGCCCCATGCATCTACCTATCCATCCATCCATCCCTCCCTCCATCCAGCCATTCATCCCCCCCCCCACCCATCCTCCATCTGTCTATCCATCCATTCATCCATCCCTCCATCCCCCCCCATCCCTCCATCCCTGTGCCCACTTGCTCTCTCATTCAGCAACCCTCCTGAGTAACCACTCTGTAATGAGAAATGCACTACAACCCCAAAGGACGTGCTAATAATTAATAATAATAAAAGCAATAGCAATAATTACAGTTGCGAGTCCCTCACTGGCCACTGAGGGAGGACCCTGTCCAGTGCCGGCCGTCCAGTAGAAAGGGGATGCAAGCCACACATGTAACGTTGCATTTTCTTGTAGCCACATTAAAAATGGTGAAAAGAAACAGTGAAAATAATTCAAGAATTTATTTTGCTTTTCCCAAACTATGCTCATTTCAGCAAGTGATCAATATGACATTGTGAATGAGATATTTTATTCTATTCTTTCCATTAGCACTAAGTCCTTGGAGTCTGTGCCCTTATGTCCACAGCACAGCTCAGTTCACACTGGCCACGTTTTCTGTGCCCGTGCAGGGGTACGTTGATGACCCGTGGGACAAGGTCTGTCCTTGTCGGGTCTGAAGTCCAGTGGGGAGGACGCAGAGCAGTGCCGTCCTGGAGCAAGGGGGTGTGAAAGCACGTGGGGCCCCCACCCGGGCCCTCTGGAGGCGTTGGCTGTCACTCCCGTCACACCCACAATGGCCCGGGCCAGGAGAGGTGAGGCTTGACCGGGTCCCTCAGTTGTTTTTATTGAGTTATAATTGGCATACCACACAATTCACCGGCTTAAAGTATACAATTCAGTATTTTAAAAATATATTCACAAAACAGACTCACAGACTTAGAGAACAGACTTAGAGTCGCCAAGGTGGGGAGCACAGGGTAGGGAAGGATTGGGAGTTTGGGATCAGCAGATGAAATCTATTATACACAGGGTGGATAAGCCACGAGGTCCTACTGTGGAGCGCAGGGAACTCTATTCAATACCCTGTGATAAACCATCGCGGACAAGAACGTGAAAAAGACTGTGCGTGTGTGTGTAACTGAATCGCTTTGCTGTACCGCAGACGCTAGCACGGCATTAAATCAACTCTACTCCGGTTAAAAAAATTCACAGGTATATGGACCCATCACCACAGTCCATTTGAGAGCGTTTTCATGGCCTCAGAAGGGAACCCTGCACCTTAGCTGTCACCCCGAAGCCCCGCCCCAGCCCTGGCCGCCCCCATCTGCGTCTGTCCCTGTGGGTTTACCATCCCTGGACTTTCATGTAAACGGGAACCGTATGGCGTGTGAGTTTTCGTGTGGGCGCCTTCGTGTGGCGTGTTTTTGCATTTCCTCCGGGCTGTAGCATCAGTAGTTTGTCTCTTCCTGATGGTGCAGGAATAATATTCCGTGGCACGGACTCGGCAGTCTGTTTATCCACCTGCAAGGCAGGCGAGGCAGTGGGCACTGAGCCTCCTTCGTCTTCCAGGTGAAGGCTCAGGAAGTTAGGAAGGCCTTTGAGGGGACCGCCGACCAGGGAAAGTGGCCTTAGTGGGGCGGGGAAGTGGGGTCTGCCCGGCAGAGGGCCCCCATGCCACTGGTGTTGGGGCCCTAGGTTTACAAGGTGGGGGGAATGGCCCTGGAGGTTCAAATAGAAAAACCTGAGAGCCACCCAAGAGATCTGTCAGATGGCAGTTTCGGCCAGGGCCTTGTGCCAACACCCTGACGGCATTGCCCAGTCTGGCTGTCCCCAATGGGGAGGGCACGGGGTCGGGCCCGACGGCTGATCCGCACTGGGTGGCAGCTGGCTGTCAGGGCTGGAGCATCTGAGGGAGGCACGGTGGGGGCAGGAGGAACGGGGCTGGGGGGGGCGGGAAGTGGCTTTGGTAAGACTCAGCCGCCTGTCATCCATCACCCGTCACCTCCCTCCCCCTCGGTCGTCACCTGTGCTGAGCTTCCTCCAGGCTGGGCAGACCTCAGGAGAGGGTTTCCCTCCCCAGGTCGGGAGGGGGCCCGGGGGGCTCTGTGATGTGGACACGGGTGTGCCTCCGGGGTGCCGAGTTGCAGGGGCCTCTGGGTTATGGAGCCCAACCCTCCTGACGTGCAAGAGGGAGCTGAGCACTGGGGTTGCCCCACGGCCGGGGTTCTCCCCACCATCCAAGGAACTTGAGGGGACAGAGTGCTTGACTCTCAGAAGTGGGTGCAGAGCAAAGGGGCCCCTCGCCCGCTGTCCGGTCTGCCTCTCCCCTCCACCCCTCTAGGGGGACTCCAGGCCCTCTGCCCGCCAGATGCAAGTCCCCCCAGTTCACGGACCCCCGGCGTTGCCATCCCCACACCAAGCCTCAGTCTCTGCATCTGCACATCGGGGGCAGTAGCGCCCGCCCTCCCTCCGAGCCTGGCTGGCAAAGAGAGGAGCTGTTTCAACATTTGCGGTTAGAGCAGGTCCGACCCGTGTCAGCTACTGTGTCACCCTCCTGTTGGAAGCCTCCTGATTGCGAAGGTGGGTCTTCCCTGCCAGCCCTCCAGGGGAGATCTGCTCTGCCCTGGATTCAAGACGCTGAAGCGTGGGCCGGTGCCCGCCCCCTCCCTTCCTCGCTGGGGCCTCCCTTAAGCTCCTGACAGGGGCTGCTGGTCCGGACCCCACAGAGGGTGACCCAGGGGACACGCCCACACCATGAGGCTAAGAGCTCCTGTTCCTTCTGTGTGTGGCCCCGGAGGGGGCTAGGCTGCCAGTGCCCTGGGGTGGGCAGAGGGCGTGGACCAGGCAGAGCTGCTAGCAGGGGGAGCTGGGGGTCGTTCAGGTGCGGGTGGGTGAAGGTAGCCTGTTGTCGTACAGGGGCCCTTCGCAAGTGGCCTCAGCCACCGTCCTTCAGCCCCCAGCTCTGCCCCACCACCTACAGGGCTGGACCGAGGGGCCACATCTGGCCTCCCAAAGCCTCTTGGGCAGACAGCCCCTGCACCGGAGCCTGGGGTGTACCCACCCTGCGCTCTGGGGCCGCCCTCTGCCCTGCTCCCGGGGGTGGGGTCTCCCCAGCTCGAGCTGTAACGGTGACAGCAGGAGGCGTGGCTCCCTGGGCCGGGTGCTGCCCCTGGGGAGTGCAGCCGGGCACCCAGGGTGTCAGTCGGGGCTGGGAGCCGCCCCACCCCCACCCCGCAGGCCGGTCCCCTCCAGGTGTGCTCGGCGGAGCCCCAGGAGCCCAGGCACTGGGAGGCTGGTGGAGAGGGGAGGGCGAGGTGAATATGTCAGTTTATCCCAACACAAGTAGTGACCTGTCAAGTGGGTCCCCCCCCACCCCCCGAGGAAATATTTGAGATGACTGAGCTGCTGGCCCTTTAAGGCTCCTGTAACAGGATACCTCCCGGACGGGATGGCTTCCACTCTCCAGCCTGACTGTGTGTCTCCCCCTTCCCTCCTCCCCTTCCTGCCAGTCCCAGTTCCATTTGCTGAGCAGCACCATGGACCAGATGAGCAGCCGCGCGGCCCCGGGCAGCCCCTACGCCCCGGAGCACGCCGCTAGCGCTAACGTGCCCACCCACTCGCCCTACGCGCAGCCCAGCTCCACCTTCGACACCATGTCGCCCGCGCCTGTCATCCCCTCCAACACCGACTACCCCGGCCCGCACCACTTCGAGGTGACCTTCCAGCAGTCGAGCACAGCCAAGTCGGCCACCTGGACGGTGAGTGGCGCCCCGGCTCCGGCAGTCACCTGTGGGGCGCACGGTGGGGAGGGCTGCCCGCGACCTTGGCACCCAGGGATGGCACCGTGCACATCTGTGTCCGCTCAGGGCTCCCACCCGGCCGGGAGGCGGGTCTCGGGGCCGGACAGCCTGGGCGTGCCCGCGCCTCGGACGGCCGCATGGCCAGAGTGGGCCAGCCTCCCACAGGGCCCCAGAGGAGATGGACATGCCCCTCCCCCTGGCGAAGACAGAGGCAGACCCTTCTCACGAGGACTGTCTGGCCAGCATCCCTGAGCTCAGTGGGGGCTCTGGCTTGAATCCTGTCCTGGGTGGGCAGCAGGCTCACAGCTCTGACACCTGGAGCTGTCTGAGGCTGGCACCGGGGCCCACGGAGGCCACCTCCTCCAGGCAGTGCAGGGCTGGCCAGAAGTGTCTGTTGTAGGCGGGTTTCGGCTTTGCCCACTCCCTCTCTGGGCTGTCATCTCCAAGCATGGGTGTCAGGGATGGAGCCACGGTGCCGCGGACCCCAGGTCCTGCCACCGTGCCCTTGGGAACAATCTGACCCCCCGTCGAGATGGTCGAGATTTTGCCAAGCTTGATAACATCCCACACACCCACGGCTGCTCCCTGAGAGCTGTGATTTGCTGTTGCCCTAAGCTCTCTGAGGTTGTGTAAACCCTTGAAACTGCCTGCAACCACGAGGTAGAATCTACTATTGTCCCATGTTAGAGTCCAGGACGCCGAGGCACAGGGAGGGGCAGTGGCCTGCTCAGGGTTATGCGGGTGGTAAGTGGGGGCACTGGCACGGGAACCTGGTGGCTGGCTCCTGCGGCTGTGCTCCCAACCACTGAAATGCACTGTCCGTACTGCGGCTGGGAGAGGAAGGTGCTGCATGATGTCCCCGCGAGGGCAGAGTAAAGGGTTAGGGACACCAAGACCCCCGGATACACGGCCGGTTTGCCTCGGAGCCTAGGGCATTGGGCAGGAAAGGGTGCGCCAAGGACCCTCCAGGTCTGCTGCCCGCCCCCAGGAGGGGAGAGTGAGCCTGGCTCTGGTGGTCCTGGCCATGGGGCCACATCACCTCCTCTGGGAACAGCAGCTCCGTGCTCACTCCGGGCCCCTGGGAAAGGACCCTGGAGCAAAGGAGTCCATGCAGGGTGGATGCACTCCCTCCTGCCCCCGAGGGAGTGCTGAACTGGTGACACCGAGGTCCTGCCGCTTTGAGAACCGGTTCCCACTGTCCCCACTGCCCTGCTGGCCAGGCTGTGGCTCTCCCGCACTCCTGGGGTGGCCAGAGGTGGGGCGGAGAGGCAGGCAGCCTGGATGGCCCCCTGCAGCTATCTCTGGTTCTTGCTTGAGCCGTGGGCTCCCGCAGCTGCTGACCCATTGCTGAGTCAAGGCTCAGACTGACTCCAGGGCTTCCAGTGGCCAAGAGGGGCATCTGCTCCCGTCAGTGCCCAGATGTCCTCATCTGGGAATTTTCACTCCATCGCTCCATTGGTGGAGGTGATAAGGCTTAACCGGGATGGGCTTAACACAGTCGGTGCCGGCATCTTCATTATTTCCTTGGATGATGGGGGTGGGGGTGGGCTGCCACGGAGCCTGGTCCTCCTGGACAAGGTTGTTTAGCCAAAGCTGCACCTGCAGGGGCTTCTTTATTGCCTGTGGGGTCCTGCTCCCCACACCCCTGCTTTGAGGTCTGGCCCTCGAGGCATCCCTACACTTGCACGTCTCTAGTGACAGGAGGCTCACTACTGCCCCTATTCCACATTCTGACTTTTGCTCCCTAAGCCCTTTCTCTCCCTTCTAAGGGGGAGGGTCCCGGTCCCTCCTTCACTGACGTTCTGTCATCAGGGCCTGAGTTGCTGGCCCCGTAGGAGTCCTGGTAGGCAGCTTGGGCGGGGGTGGGGGGGGTCGTGGCTCCCTTCCTGTCCATTGTTTGAGGATGCTGATGGGGTCTGTAGCACCTGGGGGGCTTTGAGCACCTGGGATGGTCTGAGCTGGTCCTCAGGGAGGGACGGGAGCTGCCCCCTCCTGGTTGCCTCCACCACCCCCTGCCAGGTGTGTGGCCTCAGGGCTGGAGGGGCTCATGGCTTGGTCACAGTTGTGCTGGCCCTAAGTGGCCCCGTGGGGTGGCCTGTTGTCCAGGACGGAGGCAGCCCAGTGGCCGCACCAGAGGGCAGGGGAAGGCTCATTTGTCTGAGCAGCTGTGTCTCCAAGCCCCAGCCCTGCTTCCCCCGGTGCCCGAGCAGTGGACACCTCCCTCCCAGCCTGGGCACCTCCACCTGCACCCCCGCTGAGGGCTCGCGGAGCGGAGCTGAGGAGGAGGGTGCAGCTGCCTGTGCCCAGACGCCCTCCCCAGCCCTTCTCCACGCGCGGGTGGAGGTGGGACAAACATCCATAATGAGATTCGTGGCACCTCGGCTCTGGGAGCAGACCCCACCCCTGCAGGCTCCCTGCCTTGTCCGGGGCGGGGTGGGGGACAGGCGGCCGGCTCACGGGGACCCCTGGGCATCCCGCCTGCTTGCAGCTCTGGGGGCCTGGCTGTGCGGGCGCTGCCCAGACTTGCCGCCCGGGCTTGCCCTCCGGGCCTCCGCGCCGTGCCGTGCGCGGCCCCACTACGCCAGCCGGCTGGTAACTGATAGATAATTCGTATTTTTCTCAAGTGCAGTTCCAAACTGACTGCTGCCTTCTCTCCTCTTCCTGCTCAGGAAAAACACCCTCAGCAGCCCCCAAGCGGCCGCAGCTGTTAATGGGGTCTTTGGCTTCTGCTCGGCCAAGGCCTCCTGGGAGCCCCCCCAGCGCCGGGCGCTTCATCTGCTTTGACCTGTGTCCCCTGACTTCAGCTCTCACGCCTGCATGCTTTGCGGGCAGAGGGGCCTGGAGCCCTCAGCTCACAGGCGTGTGTGCACGTATGCGTGCACACAACACTCGTACATGCATGCACAAGCACGAACACATGTGCAGACATGCACACACGCAGACACTGTACACGTGTACTTGCGCACACAGGCCCGCAGGCCCCTCCTGGTCGCTGCCCAGGGTTCTGACAGCCCCTCCCCTCCCACAGGAGTCAGGAGGAGGCGGGTAGCAGGTAACTGAGCTGCCGGAGGCAGAACTGTAGCCAGGAGCGGGGGCGGGATGAGATGGCACTATGGCCGGCGGGGTCGCGGTGTCACAGGGGGTTCTGTAACGCCCCGCCAGCGTTCGCTGTTTCCGAGCGTGCTGGCTGAGGCTTGTTCTTTCGGGGCCGTCTGGGCTTTGGAGAGAGACAGACGCCGTGAGAGATCACAGCTGTGAGCAAGGGCCCGGCACCCCTGGGCACTGATGTTCTTTGGGCCGGTGGACGGGTGGAGCCCGGACAGGGATGGCAGTGCTGGGTGCCTGGGTCCCTGTTCCACACCCTCCCCGGGACATGGCGGGGTTGGCCTCTGGGCCCTGATGGCCACTCCCATCCCCGGGACCCCCGTGGGTTGGCAGTGTGGGGCCTGCTCCCAGCCTGAGCCTCTCCAGGGAAGGGGCTGTCCTTGATGTTCTGGAGGTTTGGGGAGGGGCTCCAGGGTCAGCAGGCAGGCGCGGTGTGGTTGGAGCCCTGGCCCAGCTGGGCATCTGTGGGCGCCTCGGGCAGACCGGGTGGCACTGCTGACGGCCCTCAGGGCAGGCTGCCGTGAGGTGAGATGACGCGGGTACGCACAGGTACGCACGGGTGCGAGGGCACACAGCTTGTCCCTGGGGGCCTCCAGCCAGCCCCCAAGCCTGAACACAGCCCCCTGAGTGACCTCCAGCTGCCCCCACATCCGGCGGGGTGTGTGTCCATCCGTCTGTCCTGGGGGCGAGCTGGCCCATGTGATGTGAATGCCCTCCTGTCCCACCCCTGCCCCAGAAACACGTGGGAGGGGGCCCGGGAAACGCAAAGGCTCTACGAGGGCTTCCTGGGTAGAATGTGGCTGAGTCAATGCTAATGGATTCGGGAGAAAACTTTCCAGCCCCTCGGAGGTTTGCAAGTAGGAGAATAATAGTGGAGGTGTCCCAACATGATCGTGGTATCAATTGCGTTATCCTAAAAGTTTATGGAATGCATAAGTGGAATTAATACCTTTTACTGGCACCAGAAGCAATTATATGTATTTGAAGCCGAGGGAAGAGTCCTAACAGTGTTCATCGTAGAGGTGAACCTCCGAGTATTCAGGGGAAACTGGGGAGAATCTTCAGCAAACCCTTGCCCTGTGTGGAGCTCCGCGGGGGGTGCGCTCCCTGCGGCTGGTCCTGGGGGGTCAATGCCCCGGCTCGCGGCCCGAGGTGGGGGTTCCCTCAAGCAGCGGGGGAGCCCTGCACCTGGAGGTCACAGGACTCAGCCTGGGGGGCCCTGAAAGGGGCCCCGAGTCCCTGCCGCCAAGGGGTCCCAGGGCAGCCCCCCCCCAGCTCTGAGGTTCTTGCAGGGGAGGCGAGGGGAGGCCCCAGGGACAGGGCTCCATCTCCCAGGTGCGGGGCTGTGGGCAGGGCATGATGCAATAGACGTTTTACCAAGAGTCCTCTCTTGTCTGGGGCTTGTTTCCAAATTGGACACAGCTCTGTGGATTCTAGCGTGTCTGGCTGGTGAGCAGACAGAGCCCTTGCAGGGCCCCTGCGTGGGTAGCCCCACCCGAGCACCCAGGTACATGTTGTAGGCTCTCGTGTCCTCCTCAATTTACGGATAAGGAAACTGAGGCTCGGGACGGCAGGTCCCTGCTCAAGGTCTCCCGTCAGCAAAGGGTGGAGCGGGGGTCTGAGCCCCGGCAGCCTGACCCCTGGCTTTCATCACGCAGCTTGTTGGGGGCACAGCCTGTGCCCCTCTGTGGAGCACGTCAAAGGAGCAGCCTCCTCTCGGCTCCGAGGGGTGGGTCCAGGGATCCCCCCCCAGGACCCAGTGGACCAGTGGTGAGGGGGGCTGACCCCTAAGAGGTCCAGAGCTGCCCTGGTGGGGATCAGCTGGGCCCAGCAAGCCTGCAACTACTGTCAGT